AATTTTTGAAAATTATCCATTAGGCAAGAAAAAAATGTGCAAAAGAGATGGAAAGCTGGAGACTTTCCTCTACCAGTTTATGGATGACATCAAAACCAAAGTTTAAAGGAATCCTTGGCAAGGTCCAAAGCAAAAATTTCCATGGAAATGCAGACTTTTACCATTTTAAAAGTATATTTAACTTAATTAAGTTTCATTTGGCCAACTACACATTTGCCAGTGCTTCTTTCTTATTTAAACATTGCCACTTTTATCAATAGGGTAAAATAAACCTGTTATGAAAAGGGAGATTTTAAATGTGGTTAGCACTTCCTTTAAAATGTCTTTACTAAATTATGTCTTTACTAAATTATCTGGGGAGGGAAGAATGGCAGAGGAAAAAGGTAAGTGATCCTGGGGAGAAAATGAGAAAATAAAGTCAAGTTTATGGCTAAGACATCTCCTTTAGAATTCACCTGAAAAAGAATCCATGCAAATGAAAGTAAGTTTTGTCTATGCTGAATTCAAAAATTCAAGTGAGAATTTTATCAAAATATCTTACCTCCAGGCAAAGAGAAAAACAAAGACTCCACCAGCAAGCATCCAATTAGCGAATAAGGTGAATGCTATCATGTGTTTTAGTTATCATGTAACATGCACATATTAACTTTGATGTCTGCCAAATAATAATTCCTATTTGCATGTGTTCTTTCAAAACAACTTTATGGGCAAACGAAGGTACTGTGTTGAAGCCACTTGACTTTCTCATCAGAAGAAACATTTTATTTTAGAACTTTAAGGTTAATTCATGTTCAAGAAAACACCTAACACATAAGTCATTTGCTTGGTCTACAAACAGTATTATAGACAGATGACAGTTACTTAGTTCAGATTTAAAGTGAAAATCCTACCAGGAAATTCTACCAGGAGGGATTAATTTGTGAAATTTGTTAAACTCAATCCTCCTTTATGTTTTCTTTTTACGGTGGTTTGGAGAGGAAATATTATAAATCAGAGAAAGTGTTATTGAACATTTATCAAAATGCCAGCACATGTTCTGTAGCAGTAATGCTAATAGAAGAAATAAATGCAATCTCTGCTCCCAAGGAGCTCACAATCTTATGAAATTACTAGGGACACCAAAACCAAACCAGCACAATAAAGGATTTGAGGTCTACATGCATGATTCTGCTTAAGTTTTTATCACATTGGTCTGGGTCAATTTATCATAGTCCTCCTATTGACTGATAGAGCTGGCAACATACATAACACGACAAAATAAAAGGAAATGATGAAGTAAACATAGAAAGAGGCAAACCAATGCCTCCCATTTTACATCATAGTTCAAAACTTCACAATCTCGTATAATGGGTCCTGCCAGCCTGGCATCCAGGATAAGGAAATCATTCATTAGCATCTGTGACAAAGGCCGTGGCTCCCTAAATCCAGCAGGGAAGAACGACAGAGAAGAAAAGGTCCTTTGGGGTGTGTGAACACTAGGATCACGTTCATGATTACCAACCTGCCTCTCCGGTAGTGGGACTCCTTCCCCAGATACAGGAAGTGAGCGCTCAGGCCTCCAAAAAGGAGGGACGGCTGTTGACAGTCAGAGCTTCACCAAGACGGCACGAGGGCCGTGGAAGGGTTGTGTACGCACAGGTAAGCGTCTGGAGGGACAAGGAATGTCAACAGAGGTGTGCACTCTGATAGGGATGTGCTGAGAAACTCCCAGAAGGGGCTGTGCATAGACAGATTTAGGGTCCCAGGAAACATCTGAGAAGACACTCACGGAGGGCTGTCCTGCACAGGCCGGGTCTGAGGAGACACCCGTGGATGGCTGTGCTCCTACAGCCAGGGTCTGAGGTAGGCGTCCGTGACGCGCAGTTAAGAAATGGCGGGTCGCAACACCTAGGGCATCCGCCGCTCCCCTCCACGACGCGGGACACTTCGAGAGGCGAGGCGTCCCTCCCTTTCACCACCCTCCACTAATCATCTGACTGAGAGCAGACCCGAGAGAATTCCCGCCAGGAACCCGCAGGGAGCCACCCTCGAAGCTCTCACCTTTCAAAGCGCCGCTGCCTCTGCCACCGCCCCTGCCCTTCCCGCGCCCTGCTCTGCCCGCGCCCCACCTTCCCCGCTCCGGGCTCCGTCTACGCCCCCATCCCGTCCTGTCCCCGCCCCCGCCTCGCCCCGCCCCCGCCCCGCCCCGCCCCCGCCTCGCCCCGCCCAGCCTCGCCTCGCCCCGCCTCTGTCTCCGCCCCCGTCCTCGCCTCGCCCCGCCCCGCCCCCGCCTCTGCCTCCGCCCACGTTACCTAGAAACTACGTCTCTCCCACTTTCCGGAGACAGCCGGAAGTTTCGCCTCCGGGAGGGGCAGGGGCGGTCCAGGGGCGCGGGAGCTGGGGAGCGGCTTTCCGGAGAGCGCGCTGAGGGAGGAGCGGCTCCGTCGCCGCTGTAGGGGAGCCGCGGAGGTGGGAGAGCGGCGTGGGGCGCACGGGTGGGCGGCCGGTGGGCCGGGGCGACGGCCTGGCTGCGGGTGGAGGAGCCAGTGGGCCGGCTCCCTGAGGAGAGGGCGCCCGGCTTTTTTCCGCTCTGCGCCAACTTTGGGGTGTGGCAGGGTTAGTGAGAGGCCTGCACCCCCGTCCTGGGCTGGAGCGAGAACGGCGGCCGCCGGAGTACTAAATCACAAGTCTGTAGCCCCGATTACCCGCGAGGAGGTGAGGCCTCCTCGTCAAGCCTCCCTTCTGTTAAAGGCCTGCCCCGAGAATTTCCTGTCACCCTCTGCCTCGCCCTGGTTGCCCACTGTCAGGGCCGCAGAGGCTGAAACAGGTCGAGTGACTGTTAAGTCTCTGTAAGGATTCTTAAGGATCGCACAGTGTGAGTTCCCGAGTCTCACCATGTCAGGGAAGCGGAAGCGCGTAGTGTTGACTATTAAAGATAAACTTGATATAATAAAGAAACTCGAAGATGGAGGCTCTTCCAAGCAGTTGGCGGTGATTTACGGAATTGGTGAAACAACAGTTAGGGATATACGAAAGAACAAGGAAAAGATTATAACTTACGCGAGCAGCTCTGATTCCACAAGTCTCCTGGCCAAGAGAAAATCTATGAAGCCATCCATGTATGAGGAACTAGACAGAGCAATGTTAGAATGGTTCAATCAGCAGCGAGCTAAAGGGAATCCCGTATCTGGACCAATTTGTGCCAAACGGGCAGAGTTCTTTTTCTACGCGTTGGGAATGGATGGTGATTTTAACCCTTCTGCTGGTTGGTTAACCCGGTTTAAGCAGCGGCACAGCATTAGAGAGATTAACATTAGAAATGAAAGATTAAGTGGAGAAGAGACTGCTGTGGAAGATTTTTGTAACAACTTTAGAGATTTTATCGAGCAGGAGAATTTGCAGCCAGAACAAATCTACAATGCTGATGAGACTGGACTTTTTTGGAAGTGCCTACCTTCCAGGACTGCAGTAATTAAAGGTAAATGTACTGTCCCTGGGCAGAACTCAGTTGAAGAAAGAATCACTGTTATGTGTTGCACCAATGCAACAGGCTTACACAAACTAAAACTTTGTGTTGTGGGCAAAGCAAGGAAACCTCGTTCCTTCAAGTCGACTGACACCTTAAACCTGCCCGTCTCTTATTTCAGCCAGAAAGGTGCATGGATGGATCTCTCCATTTTCAGACAATGGTTCGATAAAATTTTTGTGCCTCAGGTTCGAGAGTACTTAAGATCTAAAGGCTTGCCGGAGAAAGCTGTGCTCTTGCTGGGTAATTCACCAACACATCCAAATGAAAATGTCCTGAGGTCAGATGATGGTCAAATATTTGCTAAATATTTACCACCTAATGTAGCTTCATCGATTCAGCCCTTAGGTCAGGGAGTCATAGCATCCATGAAAAGAAACTATCGTGCAGGTCTTCTCCAGAGCAATTTGGAAGAAGGTAATGACCTGAAGTCATTCTGGAAGAAGCTGACTCTGTTGGATGCACTTTATGAAATAGCAATGGCATGGAACTTAGTAAAGCCAGCCACCATTAGCGGAGCTTGGAAACAGATTCTTCCTGCCATAGAGGAAAAAGAAGGGTTGGACTTTGATGAAGAAGATATTTCTGGTGCTACTGTGGCCACTATTTTACAGCACACCAAAGGACTGGAAAATGTAACTCCTGAAAATATGGAAAAGTGGCTTGAGATTGACAGTACTGAACCAGGTTATGAAGTGTTAACTGACAGTGAAATCATCAGAAGAGCCCAAGGCCAGACAGATGAATCCAGTGAAAATGATGAGGAAGGAGTTGAACTGATTCCAGAAAAACACATAAATCATAAAGCTGCTCTCCAATGGACTGAAAATTTATTAGATTATCTAGAACAGCAAGGTGATATGATTCTACCCGACAGACTGGTAATACGTAAACTTAGAGCCACCATCAGAAATAAACAGAAGATGACGAACTCAAGTCAATAACTGCATTTGAGTTTTATCATTGTTAAGACTGTATTTGTGAAACTGCAATGTGGCATAATTTTCTTCCTCTTATACATTGTCAAACAGTCCTATGAAATACAAATGCAAAATGTATCTGCAACAGTTTAGGTATTACGTGTTTTCATTATATGTCTTATTCCCTTACTTGTAAAAACAGAACTACTTCTGTGTAGATATAAATGACAGATATGCAGATATTTGCTTCTATAAATTAGAGATCTTTTCTATAAGAGTGCCACTCTCTACCTTTTCTAGCTTTAAAAGTTAGATATAGAGAACAGCACTTTCCTGAATTTTTTCGCTTGAATTGCTATTGACTACAATAGCAATCTTATGCTAACCATATTAAGTGGTTGGTTAGATTTTGTATTTGTATAGGCTGAGAATTAAATGATTAGATTTTAGGATGCTATATAATAATTTAAAAATGAAGTTCAGTAACAATGGTGGAAATAATCTATGAATTATAAAAAATAGAGTTATGTCTGTTTCTTACATATTTGTGGGTAGAAAAGATAATTTGGAAATGAATTATATGTAGGAAGTAATTATTAAATGAGAGAACCTGGAAAGCTGATTTTTGGGAAAATGGCTATTAAAAATTTGGGAAACATTAGGTTTATTTATACAAAGAGAAAAATATGACCTTATTTTGAGTTGAATAACAATATAAAATTATTTACCTAATTTTCATAAATGTTTTAAATGATTACATGTAATAATACGAACTCCCACTAATATTTGGGGAACATCTGAAATTTGAAAGTTAATTTTTTTACCAGTATTTAGAAATATCTATAACTTGAAAAATTTTGTCATACTTGGCTGATTTTATTTGATATGAAAAAATAAAAGTTTTTATTTTGGATAATTCATCTCTTTTTATTGTTTTTTTTTTTTTTTTGAAGAAAGCACAAATAACTGGGAAGTGCTAGAGATAACAATTGTTGATTATTTTGACAAAAGGAAATTCTGTCATTTGTTCTAAGAGTTTTGACAGATTTTCTTAATTCTGCTTATCTAAGATATTGAAAATAATTTGCATATATTGAGATTACTGTAGTTTAAAAGTATTTTTATTATAGCATGTCAAGGCTCAAAACATTAAAAAGACAGAATTGGTCACAGTTTTGAATGTTTTGATTTTTTCCATTGGTTGTCTTAGGATTCTAAAGCTTTAAAAAAGATTTTTGTCCTTCCATTATTTTTATTATCTTTATGTTCTATATATGTATGTGTCTGTATGTATGTGTACTACTTTATTATAAAAAGTGTGTAAAATTGTGTTTTTTGAATTAATTCAGTGCCTAAGAGAAGAAAAACAGAAGTTAACATGACTATTGAATTAGATAACAAATATTAGTTAATATGCATATAAAATACTTTTTTATAAAATCAAAGTATACACTAGAAAGCCTCTTTGTTCTTTTTCTGGATTTACTTAGGTCTTTGTTGTTTGTTTGTTTTGTTTTTATGTAAAATGCAGCGATATCCTTTACCACCTAGTGGTCAAATCACCTTTGCTGTTAAACACATTTTAAACAAACATCTAGTGAAAGGTTCACTGTGCCTATGGGGGTCAATCTTGTATGTCTAGACTGGGAAACTGCTTTTCTTTGGTTTGTAGCTATTTGTTCTCTGAAATTTGCAAATTGGTAAGCTAACAGTTCTGCATTGGTCCAGAACACTTAATCTTAACAGCTACCAATTCTTGAATGTTGTTTGTGTTCCAAGTCATGCACTTTTATTATTTAATCCTCTGTGAATTAGATGGAAGCCCTTATGGTTGTCTATTATTTTTACTTGCTCCAGGTAAGAATTTCAATGTTTGACTGTAATCAATCTGGACTAAACTCTTATTCTTTCGAAGTCGTCAGTATGTATTATTTACTGTCTTCCTCTATCTCTTGCCACACATAGGTGAATTTTCTTATCTGTTTGCCAGTGCACTGGTGTCGCCATTGCCTTTTCCTTTATTCTTTTATGAGATTTATCTTCCACTCTATTCTGTAGTACTACTGTTACCTTTTTACATTAGTTATAGAATTTGAGGCTTGGATTGTCTGCCTTTTGATTTCCAGGTCACAGTGTTCAATGAGAATAATTTCTCATTACAATCTAGTTAAAGCCAGAATTGGCAAAATGTACAGTTTTCATGCAGATTTTTTTTAAGTTCACATGGTTGTCTTGAAAATAGAAGAGTCAGTATTATCAACATGGCCAAAGATAATGAAAATCATTATTGTAGAAGCACAGCCTAGAGTAAGTGTTGGAGAAACCAGGATTGTCAGTGATGCCTGGTCACTTAAAATGCCAGAGTGAAAATGGTCAAACAACCTAGTGATTCTTTGCTATTCTATTTGCCAGCCTCCACCGGAATCTCCCCAATATCCTAAGCATTGTTTAGTCCCTAGTCCTGAGCTTTGTGTCTCAGTGAATAGAACCCATCCTTATCAAAGAGATGCCATGTGCTTGACATCTTTTACTAATAGAATCTATCCTTTTGCCTATCATAAATCCTTCCTCTAGGCCCTAACCCTGAGCTTTGTTTATTAGCCAATAGAACTCATTGCAAAGTTCACAGGTGCTTTGCTCCTTTGTTAGGCAGTTTCTGTGTAGTTATGCCTAAGGCTTTGTTGTGATAATTGTCATGTGGAAATCTTTTTCTAAAGTTTTACCATGTTTGAGTGTACAAGAATAATGAACCATGAGGTCAGACTCTGGAAATTTTGACCCAGTGCCTACAAAGATGGTACTGACTTCATGCTGCCAGCCGTGAAGGAGACAATGTCCCTCATGCATTACTATTGGAAGCATATGAGTTTTTGATGTATACATTTACGTTCAAGAAGATCTTAGGGGTAAAAATAAGGTCCAAGTCAGACAATTTGGGGAAAAGAGTAGAGGATGTAGTTAAGGGAGAAGAAAATGTCTAGGGGAATGTGGTCTACAATGACCTGCATTTTATAATGTGTACATTTCAGCATGCCAGACTTGGGGTTACTGATTTGTGCTGCTTGGCCTTACAGGGAATGTTGAATCAGTACCAAGTTAAATGTCTTTGATCACTCGTTGCCCACAACTAATAGATGATTTTAAAGTTGTTTGAACACTGCACCTGTCCTCAAAGTAATGAATCTTTAGTTCCCAATTCCTGTTCACAATACCTTAATCCACACAACATTTGACTGCCTATTAAAGGTCAGCCATAGGCTCTTGTCTCTCTTGTCCTGCCAGTCTTTTGTTGATACATGTTGATTAAGTACTCCTAGAAAGTGTACAGCACAAAGCTTCTTACATGCCTCATAGCCAGACACTTTTAGGAAAGTAGATTTACTTTGAGGGATTGTGTAAGAAATGAGTTACTTTGTCTGATAGATTTGAGCTTTTTGTTAGGAGAATGACAGTAATAGAATTATTAGCACTTAAATCTAGTGGATCAAAAAAAAATATCTAAGATTTTGTATTAGGAGCTGGAGAGATGATTCAGCAGTTAAAGGCACTTGCTGTTATTGCAGAGGACCTGGGTTTGTTCCCAAGACCCACATGGTGGACCACAACTGCCTCCAAGAACAATTGTCTTGGCCTCTTCAGGTTCCTGAATGCATATGATGCATAGAAACTCAAGTAGGCACAAATACATACATAACAGTAAATAAAATGTTTTCACATATATGTGCATAAGAGAGGTTGTCTTTTAAGAATCAAAATCGGGGTGGGAAACAACACATTTGAAAGGACAATCTGGTTTTATGTGAATTCACATAAAACGGCTGAAATAGTGTGACATTCACTATGTAAAGAAAACAAGGTAGAGTTTACTTCTTGACTGTTTCTATTCTACACACTCTTCTGTGCTATAGGTTTTTGTTACTCTTGGTAATTTAATCTTTCTGCATGACCCAGTCACTCCATTTTCAAAAGTTCAGATGTATAACTTCAGCTGAGATGTAGGATTCTTGATGGTACTTGAATCCCAATATTTAGTTGATTTTTCAACCCCTAACCTTTTTAAAAGATCAAAACTTGACACTTAAGATCAAGTATACTTCTTAGAGATGCTAAAAGCAGTCAGTGCTCCACAGCCTCACACAACCACATGCGATTAGAAGTTGGGAAAAGAGTGGAAGCTGACAGTTCCCTCCTCAGTGACACTTAACATGAAAATCATGTTTAGGCCACAGACTTTAGGATTGTCATGGAGTGATTTTTTTTCTTTTATATCTCAATTCTGGGCTTGATCTAGAGATCAAGCACCATGGGTTCATTGCTTTGTGAAATATGTATTAGTGAATATAGAATTGTCAAGAAACTATTGTGTTCTACATGTATGTTCTTGGATATGTCTGGTATATAACTAAGACTACCTGCATTGAGAAGATTTACAGTAAAGAGTAAACAGTGAAGAACAAATATTGCATGTTAAAGGAGTACAAATGACAGACTAATTCTGGTATGAGAGACACAAGGTTAATTCTGCTAGAAGGATGACATGAACAATTAAATAATTGTTTGATGTTACTGGATCTCATAGTATTTCCATGGATAGTTGCTCAGTGTCCAGGAGGGAAAAAAAAAGTGCTTGGAGAATGAAAAAAAACAAAACAAAACAAAAAACTTAATTTAATCTTAGTGGTAGGGATGAATTCCCTTTTTAAATTGAAAGCCCAAAGCAAAGCTTTGCAATTTCAGTCAGATTTTCTTCCTACTGTTGGCACTCTAGAGGATTATTTGTGAGATCCATAAAAGCCTCCAAATTCCTTGAATATTCTCTAGCTCTCTTCTAGCTATTTGCTGAGTTAATCTCTTTTTTCTTTCTTCAGACATTTGCCAAAAACAGGAACACCAAACATTAATTTTTCTGCCTTATGCCAGTCACTTCCTCTAAAGAAGGACTTCTTGTATGTGTGTGTGTGTGTGTGTGTATGTGCTCGCGAGCACGCGCACATGCTGTGCTTATGAAAGCCAGTGGGATAGTTTCTATCACTACATTTTTTTTTTTAAAAGATAGGGTCTCTGCATATAATATAGGATTAAAACCTCTAGGACTAAGGAAGCTAATCAAGAAGGAGGACCCTGGTAAGAAGCCCAATCTTCA